ATCTAGGGGGAAAAAATTAAGGATTTGTGACTTTGAAAGCAGATGCTTTTAATTCTTTCATGCCTGGTACCCTATTGGACATTCATTCAGACAATATGTGTAGTTATATAGCTAAGCAAACACTTTAACCTTTCTAAACCTCATTTTCATTATTCGTAAAATGGGGATTATGTGACACCATGGATGTAAAGCCCCTAAAAGAGTGCCCGCACACAGTAAGCACTATGGACATGTTCTCTTTCGACTCTCATTGGCATTCTTGGCCCATGGCAGAGCTGCACTGCTGGGTCACAGAAGTAGAAGGGAGGAGTGCCAACTCTGTGGCTGGGCCCACTTCCCAGATTGGCTCCTCCCTCTGCCTGGGCTGTGTTTCACTTCAGGAAAGCATATCCTGGATACACCCAGGGCAGAGGCATCTGTCCAAGCAGTTCTGATGATTGGCCACATGGTTAGAAATGTATTCCTTTGTAGGCCTTGTGAATCATTTACTGATAGCAATAGTAAGTAAGGAATTCCCACACTGGATGTGCAGGTATTGTCTGTCACTCAAACATAGGGCCTGTGTGTGTGAAGGCAATTCACACTCTGGTTGCCATTGTTAGTCATAATGGCCTAAAGTTTAGAATAATCTAAAGTTTAGAATGTGCTGTATTAAGCTGTAACACACTGCCAATCAAAGCCTCCAGGCATACTGCCAGGGACCCTTTCTTGCATATGGGCGAGGAGGGAGCTGGTGGACAGAGGGAAGAACTTTATTCTTTTCTAATTGATTCTTTTTTTTAAAGAAAATTTTTGCTAATAATGCCACTTTCTGTTCCAGGACAGAATTGCCTGTGTGAAACTAATATTTAGGTAGGTGCCATTGCCCACATCATGTTTATTTTCCTACAAGTATATTTTTGAGACCTCAAAGTGAGACACTCTTTTCAATAAGTTAGAGGTAAAAAACATTTCCTCTGTTAAAAAGCAAATACCCAAGGGGTGATCATATACCCTATTATTCCCACCTACCCAGGGCTGATTTGTGAGAGCAGGCTTAAGGAAGTGAGAGGAGCTGGTCTCTCAAAAAGAGGAAATGTTGAGGTTGCAGACCCCACTGAGGAGGGAGGCAGTGGAGAGGGAACTGGAGACATTGCCCTCATCCCCCATGGCTGCTCCAGTCTGCTTCTTCTAGTTCAGGGCATAGGAGTATAGCTCCCTCTGCCTGCAACCCCTATTTGGGAGCTCCATCCCTTTATCTCTCTCCCTTTGTGACCCCTAGCAAGCCCTAGGAACATTTGTTTGTGTTCAAAACTCTCTTGAATGTTCTTTCTTCCTCAAGGCTAAAGATGGATTTTGTTGTTTCCTTCTTAACAGATGAGGCTTGAAAGCTTTGGTACCTGCCTAGGCTAGAGTTAAAGAAGCAAACTAGAAGTTCCCCTGATGCTTTAATAATGTTTGTATCAGGGGCAAATTAGGGAAGGATTTTGAGAATTCCAGATGTCAGCGAGTCCAAGTGACACGTGCAGTATTATAGGAATCTCACACTCTCTATTTTCTCTAAAATTTATTTAGTCTTTTATACATTTACCTGCCTGAGTAATCACCTCAAGGCCTGATCTATTCTTGCCACACCTGAAGCTGGAAAAGGGAGTGACCTCCCAGTGAGGCTTCCCTTCAACCAAGAACAGAGAGTGTTGCTAAGTTGTTTCGGAAAAGGAAGGCCATTGCAATAAGTGCTTTTTGAAGATACCTGATTTGAGCTTTCTCATGTCCCATCAGCACCAGCACAATTGGGGGCTTTTAAATATACCTGGTGGACAGGTAACTTATTCTCTTTTTCAAACTAGGAAACTCTTGGCTACCCACTGTAAACTAAATACTTATCTCCTTGGAAATCTCAGAAAAGGTCTGTGTGATATCAAACACCTATGCTGGGAAAAACAGGGGCAAACAAAGCCATAAGAGACTGCCTTTGAAATGGAGCCTGGGAACCCTGCAACCGCATAGAGTATTTGTTTGCTTTCCTTGTTTCCCCAGAACTGTGCTTACCTGGAGGCCACAGCCTGTACTTTGTCATTTGTCGGGATGAGGAGGGGCAAGGGAAAGGAGGCACTTTGGCTGGCTTGTCAAAGCATCCCCAATGGGAGACTGTTTAAAGAGTTCCTATCTTCAACTGGCAGATCCTTTCACTTGGGGATGTGCCAAGGGCTGCAGCTGACTCAGCTTGGGCCCAATTTTGCTGTCATTACTTAAGCCCAAAGTTCCTGGTTCCCTGGTTTTGGTGGATAGTTTGTCCACATAGAGAGGGTAGACACAGCACCTTGGCTGGGGCTACTTTTTCATTAGGTGTTATTTTTCTCTATGAGCTCTAATTTCTGGGATCAAAGAGATTAGGAAAAAGAAGCGCTCTTTTCCTTGAGCAGCCCAGTTGAAGGCACATTAATCCCATGTTGCTCAAGCAGGAAGGTGGGGAAGGAGACACCGAGTTTCCTTCATCTATAATGAAACAAGAGTCCAGTCTTAAAGTCTTTCAGATGAAAACAGATGTACTCTAATTACTTTAGTTGGGAGCTGCTTCTTATAAGGATGCAATAGAAGGGGCCACTCTTTTTCAGGACTGAAATGCCATATAGGACAAAACACAGAGCTTGCTGCCCGATGTGTTTAGTGTTCTTTGACCCATGCTTTTCCCTACTCCAGGGCTCTGCCATTAGTGGTGCTGTATTGCCTCCCTATCTCTGCACTCATAAAGATAAAAGAAGAGATTTGTTGAAAATGGAAGAAAAATAATATTTTAATATATGTCAATGCAAATTAATATATACTATAAATTATCAAAGATTTTTTTAAAAAGTGGCTCAGCTATAAATTTGCAGTTCTTCCGCATTTAGGAGCTTTTGGGACCTCATAATCTGGCATCATGCTATCTTCTATCAAATTCTGATTCTCCTAAGAGCATGGTATTCTTCCTAACAAGGTGATCTTCCCCTGATGACTTCATTTTATTCAATCAGAGCTTTTCCTCATAGTTCCTGGTAATAAAATTGCTCCAAGTTAATTTTAAGGACGGTCTTTACCAGGAATTACTAATCATTTTTACTTCCCACCAATCCCATCTGGAGATATTGACTACCTACTCTGAGGCAGGGAGTAGGAGCCTGGAGACTGGCATTCTCTGCCATTTCCCCACAAGCTCCTCCTCTTTCTGTGTGTTTCCTAACTATCCCTGAGATTCCTGTTCTGTATTCTCTGTCTTTGGTGACTGTGGAAGGAGTTAAATTCTGCCCCTTGGGTTAAATCAGAGCATCGTCTATATTAAGTGGAAATACAAACTAGAAATCCCTGCCTGTGGAATGCTGGCAGAAATACCCTCCATAACTGCACCTCAGGAGCTGTTCTGTTTAGCCATTTAATGCCCTCTTTAGTTAAGGCTTTGATTACTTAAGCCATAAAGAGGCTCCAAGGTTTCCTGCCCCTCCCCCAATATTATATGTAGTTATTGAAAAGTGCCACGCCTCTCATAACCACCTCTCCAATCATCATCACTAACTACCTTATACTTGTAATATTAATTCAGTTTTCAAGGTACTTTCTTAATCTTTGCCCCGTTTGATCTGCACAAAATCTATGCTCTATTCATAGTACTTGCTATTACTCTGACTTTTTTCAAATGAATATCCTAAAGGTTACATGTCCCAAGGTCAAGACTTGGCTCAAGAGCACATGGCTAGTAAGTGGCAGGGCTGGGGTGGAGACTGGGGAGGGAACCAGATGCTCAAGGCATTCACAAGCTTGGGGCTCCTCCTCAGTTTAGTCTCTTTCTCATCATTTGTCCAGCTCTGAGAGGTGGGAATGATGAAGTTTGGAAAGGATCTAATAAACTAATTTACATATGATAAGAGTAAATACTGAGAAGTTTCAACATCACTTCCCTCAAGGACATTGCATTTTAATGAGCCTCATTCAGTTATATAACATAAAGGAATACTTTTCTAAATATGAAATTGCAGGCATTAGTGAGAAGTTAATTGGGGAAATGTTCATGGAATATGGGAACATTCTGACACCTTTCAAATTTTCATCTTGTTCAGGATGCCCATTGCATGAATTAACTCCCTGCTTCTCATGAGGCCACCCCTTCTCTGTGTTGATTTACATACCTCCAGAACTTTCAATACAGGCAAAGAGGCTTCATTTCCAGTCATTTTATGGTAGGGTCTGTGTTGTGTTTTGATTTCACATTTATTCACCAAACGTGTTTCTGTTCTTCTCGTGTACTTTTGAAGCATCCCAACAACTCAAACCAAGGACAGTGGCAAGCAGCATGAGTTAACAATTATGCATACACAAGCCTAGCTCAACCCTGTGACTCTCTTTCACATTTGCTGCTTATTCATAACCCAAGCCCATCTGCTGCACAAGTAATGATCAGCTGCACTTGTTTCAGATGTCAACCACCCCAGCTGTTTGTCTCTCTGTAAATACAAAGTGAGGAGGGAGCAATTATTACAATATTAATATTCTGGCTTGATTATTTCAATGCAGTGAAATGAAGACTGATGAATTTCACTCTGGGCCCGCCATCATCTCAGCCCCATACAATGCATACCTATGCAGCACAGCCCAGGCTATAACCTCCCAGGAAGATCCAGGTAAACCTCAGAAGTTCTGCTATGAACCAGGCCATCTAGAAATGCCAGGTGAAAGTAAAGACTTGCTTGGATCCTGCAGGGCTTTGAGATTGAAGTCTATATTGAAATTAAGAATGAGGCTTGAAGATGCCCCAAGGAGCTCAGGCAGACTCTTAGATCTGCTTTGATAGAGATTCCAAGTGTCAAAATAATTTCTTCTATCAGCATTCTTTGATTTAAAATAAATGTCAGACAAAAGCTATCATCAAGAACATGTTTTCATCTCTGGTTTTTCTTTACTATTCTGAGGCAGCAGGAACTGGAATGATCGGACTTATCAAGAAAGCTTCCTTCAATTACTTTATAAACTTTATTAAGCATCAGCACACCTTCCTTCAGTCATAAGTATGCACTGAAGCACCTTGAGTGAGGGGCTACAAGAGTCAATACAAAACGTTTTCTTCCCTCCTCAGACTTCATGCTGGCTGATACTGGGATAAGCTCTTACAAAAAAAAGATGAAGCATAATTGATCTGCGTGGCTTCAGTTTTTGGCTCGGCCACTTATCATGCATGTGTTCTTCAGAAAGTTTCATGACCTGTCTGTGCTTCAGATTCATCATCTATAAAATGAGAATAGGATTGTTGAGAGGATTTAAAGAGTTAATAGATGTGGAGTGTTTAGAACAGGCCCTGGCACACACTAAGTAGAATGTAAATGTTGCTATTGTGCTGTTCCTCTATCTTAAAGGGCTTCCGTGTGATAACATTTTGGGGTGGGGTACCAAGGAAGACATCGGAGAAGTACATGTAAATCATGCCTTGGACAAATGAACTCAATAACTAGAGAGAAACTGGAGGTCAAAGGAACAGCAAGAACAAAAAGATGAAGAAATAAAAATTTGGGGGATGTTAAAGTTAATTAGGTCCTTCAGGGGACAAAAGTGC